CTCTAGATGTTTGGGGTTTCTCACAATCATGCCTGTAGCTTCCCACTTACTAAACAGTTTATCTTCCTTATTTTTAATGCTACTTATAATATACTTCAAATAGTATTCTCTAGATAAAGATATACAAGAAATGAAATTGAAATCAAAGATGCTAGGGCATAAGAAGGAAAGGTTTTTTTAATGTATATTTCTTTTACCAGTAATAGTTTGCAACTCTGAGGTATGAGCAATGGAATTCAAAACTCTGTCAGCATGAAGCAAATGATCTGCTGGAGAGCAGAAATTCATCCATTCATAAATATAAAACCATTACTACTTTCAGTGTAAACATAGTATGCACAATAGCCAATATTTATGAAGGTTATATTTTGAGAAGTATTTTATTAACATCTTAAATTAAAATCTCAACTTTGTTCAACAGATTTCGAATTTACAATGCCTATTTTGGTTGTCTGAGCTGGTGAATATTTAAATAATATCAAATTGAAGGCTTTGCTTGTTTAATACATACAATAAGTTTACATTTGGCCACAAAGAGAACTAGAATGTTTTAAAAATAATCCTTCTGCACATTATTTAAAAGTAGTGAACAATCCCCAGTTCATCCTATTAATGTACTCCCAGGCCCTTCTCCCTCAGGAGGTGGAGGGTAAACCACGATATCCCTCCAGGACAAGGGAGGACTTGGGGACCTCCCCTTCTGTCCAGCCCAGGGGTTGAACCAAGGTGGTCAAGGGCCCCAAGGCCTGCTGCACCAAGGTCCCTGCCCCACTGGAGCTTTGCAACAGGTACAAACCTCTTGAAGCCCCAGCAGAGCCTGATAAGTTGCCAGCTCCCACAAGCAACACGGGCTCTAATGTAGCTACTGTCCCCACTCTCCCTAAGACAAAACACAAAGTTTTTGTTTTGGGAGACTCCATCCTGAGAGGACAATCTGCCGCCCCAACCCCTTAGCCCAGGAAGTCTGTTGTTTCCTGGGAGCCCGAATCCGAGACATTGCGGAGAAGATCCCTAAATTCCTCCAGCCCACTGACCATTACCCTATGCTCCTTATCCATGTGGGCACCAATGACACGGCTCGGAGCGCTCCCAGCCGGGTCATGAAGCACTACAGGGATTTGGGAGTGGGGCTAAAGGGTCTGAGGGTGCAGGTGGTGTTTTCTTCGATCCTCTCAGTCTTGCGCCACGGGCTGAGGGAGATGAGGATCCAGATAGTGAAGCAAAGACTGCAGCACTGGTGTCATTGGGAAGGCTTCGGCTTCCATGACCACAGTCTGCTCTTTGGTGAGAGAGGCAGTGAGCCGCTGGGAAGAGATGGCCCCCAC